CTCCCTCCCTCCCTCCCTCCCTTCCTGCTTTCTTTCCTTCCTTTTTTATAATTTAGTTAGTCTACATCCCACTGACTGGGCTTGTTTATAGACAAACTTACCATCCCTTCTTTTAAATGTTAATTCTCTTCTAGTAGATAGCTGATTTGAATCATTCTTAGTATACTGAATGATTTTTTTGGACAGGGTCTCACTATGTAGCCCAGGCTAGCTTCAAACATGAGATTCTCTTGACTTAGCCTTGCAAATGTTGGAATTACAGGCATGCACGTCCATGCCTTGCTTAGTTGTCTTCTTTAAAAAATATTTTAGTCAATATTTACAGTTGTTACCCGTGTGAGGGTTAATTGATAATGGTAAAATGATGCATTCATACTGAAAATGATATATTAGTCAAGGTTTGTTGTATTCTTCCAGTACTGGTACCTATTTGTTCCAGCAAAAATTGTTAAAAAGATTTATTTCCCCCATTAAATCATGTTGATACCTTTGTCAAATAGCAGTTGACCATACAGATGTGGTTCTTTCTGGACTTTATTGTGTATATTTATTGATATATCTGTTCTTATACCAGTAGCACACTGTCTGAATTACTGTAGCTTTATAGTAACCCTATTTTTTTTTTTTTGGTTTTTCGAGACAGGGTTTCTCTGTGTAGCTTTGCGCCTTTCCTGGAACTCACTTGGTAGACCAGGCTGGCCTCGAACTCACAGAGATCCGCCTGGCTCTGCCTCCCGAGTGCTGGGATTAAAGGCGTGCGCCACCAACGCCCAGCTAGTAACCCTATTTTTAAAATTACTGTAGTTTCCCTCTCTACAATCCTCTCACTCCCCACCTTCTTTTCCCCGCCCCATCCACTTCCTTTCTGTCTCTCATTAGAAAAGAACAGGCTTCTAGGAGTTAACAAGCAAACATGACAAAATAAAATATAATAAGATGAAGCAAAAGCTATCTTATTGAAGTTGGACACAGCAACCCAACAGGAGGAAAAGAATCTCAAGAGAAGGCACAAGAGTTAGAGACCCACTTATTCTCATAGTCAGGAGTCCCATAAAAATACCAAGCTAGTAGCTATAATATATGTGCAGAGGGCCTTGTATAGATCCAAAAAGGAAGGTTTTTTAACCTTAACGTAGTAAGATTACAAATAACAAAATAGTTATCAAGTAAGAATTACAGTTACAATATCTAGTCTATTCATATGTGACAATATCAGAGAAAATATTCAATTGTCTATCCTATCTTGATGAGTCTAAAGTTTTTTTTTTTTTTAAAGATTTTTTTTTTTTAAAGATTTATTTATTTATTATGTGTACAGAAGAAGGCGCCAGATCTCATTACAGATGGTAGTGAGCCACCATGTGGTTGCTGGGAATTGAACTCGGGACCTCTGGAAGAGCAGTCGGTACTCTTAACCACTGAGCCATCTCTCCAGCCCCCGAGTCTAAAGTTTTATATCTATTTTATCCTTTATTATAATTAAGGAAACTATAACTATAATTATCTAGTCTTCAACTCCATCAAAGACCTGAGAAGGAAAATAACATTACCTGAGTAAGGGGGAAGTGCAAGCACATGACTTCCAAATCATTTAAGAAATGACAGAAACAGCTGGCTGCCTGGACAGTCACACAAGGATCTCTGTAACATTGGGGCATCCAACTTTGGCTTATAGACAGACTTTTTTCAGAAGCAGGAAAATTTGAAGGACTGTCCTATTCTGTCTTAGAAAAGTTCAGCAGTCACTTTTCTTTGTGTCCTGCTTGTCCAGATTGGACAGCATACTTACTGTCAGCAGTTGAGGCAAGGGCAGTTTCTTGCCCAATATGCCAGTTTTGCCAAAAAGAAAACAAACTCCATATGGAGTGTCTTTGGTGTCTATCTTCCTCTCAGGAGTAGATCGGTGCTGCCAGGAGCAGATGTGTCACATTAAAAAATGCTGTTAAAACATTTTAAATGTCGTATTCTGTAGGTTTTTGAAGTGTTTGAAGATTACCTATTTGGAATGTATCTCTGCATACCCAGAAAAGCTAACTAACATGACTATTGGTTTGACTATTATAGATGACTATTAATCTATATTTTCTAATGATACATTACATTTTTTAATTGAACTGTATAAACACAATACCTTAAACAAGAGTAGAAATATACATATAGTATAACAAAATTGACTAAATCCATACCAATGTAAAACACAACAACATACATAATCCAGACTCTGTATTTTTCATCCTCACGTGGCTCATTTTCTTTATATTACTTTACTCCCTTTTCTAAGGACTTTATTTTATTATTTTAAATCTATATATTTTTTTTATTTTTTATTTATTTATTTTATGTATTTGCGTACTCTATCTGCATGTGCACCTTTATGGTGGAAGAGGGTATCAGATCCCACTATAGATGGTTGTGAGCCACCATGTAGTTGCTGGGAATTGAACTCAGGACCTCTGGAAGAGCAGCCAGTGCTCTTAACCGCTGAGCCATCTCTCCAGCCCTAAATCTATATTTTTAATTTAAGGCTGTATATATACTCTTTTCTCTCTCAAGCCTATGGACATCTTTTATTTTTATTTATTTATTTATTAGTTTTAAAAAATGATTTATTTATTTTATGTGCATTGATATTTTGCCTGCATGTATGTATGTTGATGTCGGATCCCATGGAGGTAGTTATATTACAGGCAGTTGTAAACTACCATGTGGGTGCTGGGAATTGAACCTAGGTCCTCTGGAAAAATAGTCAACGCTCTTAACCCCTGAGCCATCTCTCCAGCCCCTATGCACATCTTTTAAACACACTGTGACCTGTTTATAGGCCTTTCTGTCTGAATCTGTTTTTATTGTGTATCTTTATCTTTTTTATTGTGTATCTTTATTGTATGAGCAAAGGCTAAATTTGCCATGCAGTGTGCTGCAAGGTTTGGAGACACCTCTATGTATGTGGTGGGAATCCGCCACACTGTAGCTGAAACATGCATGCCTCAGCCAGAGGAAGAGACATAAACTATGAAGTTGCTCTTGGCTCTGTTTTTGTGTATCTTGAACCCTTTTAAGCTTTTTCAGGCTTTATGTGGATATGTGTGCGTCAAGTTGGAGTGCTCTATGTAAACAGAAGCTTTTCTCTGTCATGCCCCATCCTGTAGCTGCTTCCCAAATTATCACACAGAGACTTATATTAATTATAAATGTTTGGCCAATGGCTCAGGCTTATTATTAACTAGCTCTTACATTTAAATTGATCCATTCCTATGAATCTGTTATTGCCATGTGGACCATGGTTTACCTATCCTTCAGCATCCTGCTTCTTGCAGGCAAACACTCATACACATAAATTAAAAATGAATAAATCTTTAAAAATGAGCAAAAAAATTTAAAATCAATGTCAAATCTTGTACAGAATTTTTTTTTTTTTTTTTTTTTGGTTTTTTCGAGACAGGGTTTCTCTGTGTAGCTTTGCGCCTTTCCTGGAGCTCACTTGGTAGCCCAGGCTGGCCTCGAACTCACAGAGATCCGCCTGCCTCTGCCTCCCAAGTGCTGGGATTAAAGGCGTGCGCCACCACGCCCGGCCCAGAATTGTTTTAAATATTAATTTAAAAACTAAATCTCATACATCAAAAACAGCAGAAATTTATGATTAGATGATTGTGTTCAACATGTTATTGTATATGTGTGTTTAATGGGCACACTATATGGTATGCTACAATCTCCTCTGTCTTTTAACTATTCTACTGTGTTGATAATGTTGTTTTGAACAGGATTATGTTGTTATAGGTCCCAGTGTCATTTGAAGATGTAGCTGTAGATTTCAGTAGAGAGGAATGGCAGCAATTGGACTCTTCTCAAAGATGTCTATACCAGGATGTAATGCTGGAGAACTACAGCCACCTGCTCTCTATTGTATTTTGAGAAGCTTGCTGTGGGTTAAATTGTCTCCAGAGAAAATAATTGCAGAAGAGAGGGAAGAAAGATTGTAAGAACCTGAGGTGATAGCTTACTATATAAAAGCAGAATTTTCTGGGATTCAAAAGGGAAATTGCACATATGAACTCATGGTGATTGTGACATCATACACAAGCCCTTTGAAAGTTTAAGTCCGACAAAATCTCAGCATGGAGAACGGGGAGTGGTCATGAAGTCATACCCTTAGCTGAGGTTCTTTTGGTAAGTGATAGCTGCTTGGAGAAGGAGAGTCAGTTTTCTTAAAGTGTGTGGTCCCTGGTAGGTAGATCAAGTTCTAGTGGAAAGCTACATACCTTAGAGTATATGTGTGGCCCAAACTGGACTTGATATTTTTTAAGAAGAGAACAGGGTGTACAGGGATGGCAAGGGGAGAAGTCTGGTAGAAGTTGGGGTATATTATGCTAAATTCTAAAAGAATTAATCTTTAAAAAGAAAAGAAAGACTTAAAAGTAATGAAAAAGAAAATATATTAAAGTCCTAACCCTTAGTATCTCAGAATACAACCATATTTGGAATTAAATTCTTTATGGAAGTAATTAAGCTAGAATATGGTAATTAAGGTGGGTCTTAATCTGACATAACTTGTCTTTAAATTATTTATTTGTTATTACTCTGTTGACGGGAGCCATAAGCCTAAGCGACCTTTGACACACAGGCTGCCATATTTGGGCTTCTCTCCTCTTTTCTTAAATCTAGGCCTTGCTTAAGTCTCCAAAGCACCAGAACCTCTTCTCACAAATACCAGAACCTCTTCTCAGATATCAGGTGAATGAGCTGCAGTTAAGCAATTAGGTAGTTAGGCAAGAGTAGATAGATAACCTTCAGAGCAACATTCCCTGCTGGCCGAACAGCCCATAATTAAGTCCCTTCCTGCTTGCAACCCCCATAATTAAGTCCCTTCCTGCTCTCAACCCCCTTTGCCTACCTATATATCCCTTGAGAGTAAAATAAAATTTTGGAGCTTGATCAGACATCCTGTCTTGCTCTCATTCTTTGTGTCTCTTGTCCCTCTCATTCGCTGGCCCTCCCTTTAGGTCCCCATTGAAGACCCCACTGGCCGGGGCACCTGGCACCCAATGGTGAGGCTGAAGCTGTGAAGGGCTCAGCTAATGTTGCACCCAGGCAAGCCGACTGACATTGGACCAACGCGTCATATGGTTGTGAGTGAAGGTCTGGAGAAGAGATTGCCGTGGGACCACCCACAAGACAGATCCATGACATTGGACTGCCATGGCCTATTTGGTCGTGAGTGAAGCTCTGGAGAGGAGATCACCGTGGGACCACCCGCCCCACGAGACAGATCTGAGGAGAGACATTTGGTGTCAATGCAAGGTGAGTGAGTCACCATGGGACAAGCATTTAGTAAACAGAACCTGTTTATTTCAGGTTTTAAAGATTTATTTATTTATTATGTACACAGAAGAGGGCACCAGATCTCATTACAGATGTTGTGAGCCACCATGTGGGTGCTGGGAATTGAACTCAGGACCTCTGGAAGAGCAGTCAGTGCTCTTAACCTCTGAGCCATCTCTCCAGCCCCTTATTTCAGGTTTGAAAGAATCTCTCAAGACGCAAGGAACTAGAGTAAAGAAAAAAGATCTTAAAAAAATATTTTTTGACTATATTGGGGACATTTGTCCTTGGTTTCCTCAAGAGGGAACTACAGATGAAAAAAGATGGAAACTAATAGGAAATTGTTTAAGAGATTATTATCGCCGGGCGGTGGTGGCGCACGCCTTTAATCCCAGCACTCGGGAGGCAGAGCCAGGTGGATCTCTGTGAGTTCGAGGCCAGCCTGGGCTACCAAGTGAGTCCCAGGAAAGGAGCAAAGCTACACAGAGAAACCCTGTCTTGAAAAACAAAACAAAACAAAACAAAACAAAACAAAAAAAAAAAGAGATTATTATCAAACTTTTGGCCCTGAGAAGGTGCTTGTTTAGGCCTTTTCTTATTGGAACTTGATAAATGATATCCTAAAGGTTTATTTAAAAAAAGTAAGGAAAGATATAGGAGACCCATAAAAGCAGCCAGCCTTATAAAAATGATTTACTGTCAGACTGTGTTAAGTGGCAGAGATTCTAACCCCTCCCTTCAGGGAGAAACCTGCCGTTACTTCATTCAGGGTCTTTAAAGGAGGTAACACAATATTATCATACTACAAGACCTCCTGAGAGTGTAAACTAGAACTAATGAGAACTAAGACCTCCTGAGAGTGTAAACTAGAACTATGGAGAACACTATGTTCTCCATAGTAGTAGCAGCGTCCTGCTACAAAGTCTTTTGCTAAAACTATTGGAATCTAAGGGCTAACTTGAGCCCTAAATTTGCCCTGCAGCTAACTAGGAGCTCTGCTCCAGCAGCCTTCATTTAAATTAATGCAAGCCTTATAGCCAGTACCGATTTAAAAACTAATGGCAACTCCCAGCTCTCCTAAAAAGGTGTCCTTTTCTCTCTTTTTGGGTTGACTTTTAACTTCTTGATAATTTACAAAAATCTTGGCCAAGTACAAGAACTTCAGTTAACTCATTAAAAAAAAAAAACAGGTCCTGGTTAGGGAACGCCCTACTACGACCTGTATGGATTCATCAGACACCGAAGATGTTTGGGGGCTGGAATCCTAAACATCTGCCTTCTTCTCTCTGAACCTAACTATCTGCTATCTGCATCTCAGCTCACTTCCACCCTTCTCCTCACCTTTGCCATTCCCGGTGGCTACCTGGCTTGATATAGATTGGACAAACCGGCTGCAGCTGCTACAAAAAAAAAAAAAAATCCTCCTCTGTTTTAATATAAAACCTAAGTTCTAAGTTTACAGAGCCAACTAACTTATAAATTGTTAAATAAGTTTACTTTAGTTAAAGATAATTAAAAAATAAAATTTATTGATTGATTGGCCACCCTAAACTGTAAACTGTTAAGGATAAGTTGTACTTAAGCTATAGGCTATTAGAGATAATCATTAGGATACAAATTAAAGCTTGATCATTTTATGATCAAGTTCTCTAATGTATACAAAATCATATTTATATATATGCTAAGTATGCTGAATTTCATATAATCAATTCATTATTTAGCCCCCTAGCATTTAAAATGTTTAAGCTTTGGACAAAACTGCCATACCCCTTATTTCCAGGGTTTTGTCCAAACTATGCTTTGACATCATTTAGATTATATCCCTATTTACAAGGCCTAAAAGATAATTTGCCTTGCTATCCAAATTCATAGAAAAGATAGCTCGCCAAACAGATTTCAAAATAATCTTTGACTGTTCCTTTGTTTAAAGGAATTCACCACATTGGCTGCTCTCAGTAATTAATCACCTATATCTCCTGATGAATTAAATACAAAAATGCTTTTAGATATAAAGTTTTTATAGGATATGAAGGATTAGATATAAAAAATGTTTAAGAATGTTAAAAATAATTTATTACATATGTAATGCAAGTCATTGGAATAAAGAAATATAATCTATAAACATCTAGATATGTTATAAATGCTAAACAAATCTCAATAAATAACCTAAAGATATTAAAGATGTATGCCTAAGTTAGATCTATGAATAAAGTTTTTATTGAGGTCTGAGATAGATGTATAGGCTTTAAAAATAAAGTTATGTATACCTTAATACAAGAGTCTTTGGACCTCCCCAGAAGGGACATTGGGGCTAATTATAGGGTGTAGCTCCTTGGCTGTATGTACAAGGTTGCCCCAGGGATGTGCGATTCTGACTTTACTGGAGAGATTAAGATCATTGTACAATTCAGATTCATACAGGGCAGTGCCTAAGGGAGCTGCTGGTGTGGATTCTAGTGATATGGCCTTCTGGATTCAGGAAATTAAATATTCCAAACAACTAAACACTTAAAATACAGGGAAAGAAGATAATTGGCTTGCTAGACATAAACATAGATGTTTCTTATATTTCAGAAAAAGATTGGCCAAGTACTTAAGATGACTATTACTTCTTCGTCTCTTACAGGCCTAGGTCAAGCTAATAATGTATTCAAAAGGTCAGGAAAATCGAATGCTCCTATCTAGATCAAACAATGGCTTTTAAATACTGAGAGAATTGTAACTGTAACCTGTCTGGTGGAAGAGAAACTTAAAAATAGGGCATATAAAGCCTCCCACCAGCCCTTAAATCACCCCAATATCTTTTTATTTAGGAAAATCAGGCTTATACACTGTTAAAACATTTTAAGAAATTAAATAAAATTTATTAAAGCCAAGGAGAATCTCACAGCCTGGCTTGCCATCTCTCATGTCATCCCTAGAAATCAAGATAACAATTGTTGTAAATTTTACAAGATTGCTTCTTTGCCATACCTTTTCACCCTAAAGGTTGTCAGCATTTCACTTTTAGCTTGCCTACTCACCCTGCCATGATGGAGGCCAAAGCTGACATACAGAGCAGGAAATGCAAGTTCTGTTTATCCAGGACTCATTCATTGAACAGAGTTTCTCCTTTTATATATACAGATTAACTATCAGAACTAACTGTCAATTATAGATTCCTCACAGCCCCCCAACCTATATGTATATATATATATATATATATATATATATATGTATATGTATATACATATACCTTACAATACATTTATTGTACAGATGATATTATATTTATATCAAACTATGAAACTTATGAGTCTATAGAATGGCAAATAGCTCTACAGGATATACTGGCACCTTTTCATATGTCTGGCCAACAATTATAAATTCTGTCCCTATGGAAGCTTACCCACGAGGCTTACATCCTTATGATTTATGGTTATGAAATAAAAAGTAATACACCATATCTTTCACTGCTTTTTAATTTTATGAATGCCTTGAGCTCATATATAGACAACAGCCTTACATATACTTTAAGAGCTCTTAAAAATTGGTGCTTAATTTTTCAGATCCCCCACTACAGGCATTCCTTATTACCCCCAGGCCAAGCCACAAAGTCACACCTAAGCCTCTGTGATCTTCTCACTGGTATTTGAAAAGGTCCTGATGTTTTCATAATGTCAGGAGGAGGATACATGTCTTTATAGGACTGTTATTTACCTCTAGATTCTTGAATATGAATAAATTGATACAATTCCAGACCCTCTTGAAGAACTGTTCATCAATGATATCAAAACTTATAGAAATATGATTAGAACTAATAATTCTGTTCTAAATGTATTTTATTAATTTTGTCAAAAGACTTGAGAGATATATAAATGACACATTTTAGATTTTATTCTCTGGCTATCCTGATGTTTTGTTGAGGCTCCAAGGATTCATAATTTTGCTCTGATAAAGTTTACCACTGTTATATTGCTAACGTGTCTAAGATTTTGTCTATTAAAAAGGTTCTTATAAGCTTCAGGAGATCACGTCGGTGGTGGTGGTGCGTGATCAAAATTTGCCAACGCCCACAAGCCAAGAAGGACTAGGAGGAATACAACCTGACTACAGTTTATATCTCCCACTTACAAATTTTCTTTTTCTTCTTTGGGGGTGGGGTCAGACTGCCCACAATTGCAAAATTTATTAGAGGGAGGAAAGCGTAGGATGCCCCTATTCTTACTGCAAAATTCATGATGCCATTCCTCCTGCTAAGGGACAGGTAATTGGTTTTCTTGCCCCTTGTGGCCTGAGTTTCCCTGACCACCTCCCTGGTCCCTGCAGGCCTGGTGGGAAAAGCCCTGGGTCACTCCCTCATAACAATGGCTCACCTATCCCAACAATTTCAGGTAGGAATTGAGGCTTCTGAAGCATCCTTGTCCTCCCTTCAGAGGCAGTTAACTTCCCTTGCACAGGTTGCCCTACAAAACCGATGGGCCTTGGACCTGTTGACAGCAGAAAAGGGTGGGACATGCCTTTTTCTGAGGGGAGAATGTTGTTATTATATTAATGAGTCTGGAATGGTAGAAACCCAGATAAATAAGCTACATAAACTTAGCCTAGAGCTACACAAGCAGTGATTCTCTGCTGTGGCAGATGACTGGTGGAGATCATCCATATTCTCCCTTTTGATTCCTCTTGTAGGACCATTAGTCAGTATCTTGTTATTTGTAACATTGGGTCCTTGTAGATGTAACCAACTGTCTTATTAAAATAAAAAAACACAGAACCAATGTAAAAGAGAAAGCCGAGAGGTCAGAGCTCAGAGCTAAAATCTTACCTCCTGCAGTGCTCCTAGCTTCCCCGAAAGAGAGCTACTTCCTGTGTGTCTGTCTTTAAATGTCTTTCTGTTCTGCCTTCTCATTGGTTGTAAACCCAAACACATGACTGCCTCATCACTGCCTGTAAGTACTGCCCTCCAGATCTTAAAGGCATATGTCTCCAATGCTGGCTGTATCCCTGAACACACAGAGATCTACCTAGCTCTTCTATCAAGTGCTGGGATTAAAGGTGTGCACCACCATCACCATGCTCTTGCTATGGCTCTAATAGCTCTGACCACTGGGCAACTTTATTTATTAACATACAATGAAAATCACATTTCAGTACAAATAAAATACCACCATATGCCAGGACAACAGTCTTAGAAAAACTTGTTAAACCTGTAAAAATGAATTATAGAGAAATTCAAATTCAGACAGAAGAAATTAACAGTGAAGTTGTTTCAAAGTTGGATCATAAGGTTACAGAAAGAAAGCCAGTTTTCACACAATCACCCTTAATTTATTGGTAGCCATACAGCAGCTACCTGATGAAGAGAATGAACAAAATACTTGGATTCCAATTGAAATGTTAGACTTACAAAGATTTAAGGAGGCAATAGCATCTTATGGCATGCATTCCCCATATGTAAAGCAAATGTTAAACACCTGGTCAACTTGTAATAGGATTCTACCAAAGGAATGGCGGGATTTGGCACAGGCTGTTCTTGAACCCAGACAAAATCTCCAGCGGAAAATGTGGTTCAATAATGAGGCTAAAAATATAGAAAAACAATGGAGGGATAAAGGAATACAAGTCTGCCAGGATCAGCTTATTGGAGAAGGCCAGTATGCTTCAGTACAAACACAATGTTTATATGATGTCCAAACCCTAGTTCTATGTCTTGAATGCATGGGACAGAGTTGAGGAACTAGGAAAAAAACTGAGTCATTTACAAAGGTTATACAGGGCCCAAAAGATCTTTCACAGATTTCCTACAAAGATTGACTTCAGCAGTACAGAGAATGATCCCGAATTCAGAGGCTAGTCAGATAATAATTGAATCTTTGGCCTTTGAGAATGCAAATGCAGCATGCAAAAGAATAATCAGGCTGTTAAAGGCAAGATCTGCACCTTTGGGAGATTGGATTAGAGACATGGTTAATGTTGAGGCTTATGGCCATGATGATATGTGGGTAGGAGAAGCAATTTCAAAAGGTTTGAGAAATGTTAGATGTTTTGGATGTGGAAATCAAGGACATTTGAAAAGGGACTGTAGACAGGTCATTCCTAGAAATAATGTTTATTCAAGGAACACTGGCAACAGAATGCCCCTTCCTTCTGGAGTATGCAGAAGGTGTGGTAAGGGAAAACACTGGACCAACGATGTATATCAACAAGGGACAGACAGGGTAATCCTTTGCCTCAGGCTTCGGGAAACTCTCAGAGGGGCCTCAGGCAGGCCGCCACAGTAAATCCAGTTCAAACCTTTCCTGCAGTTGTTTAGGAAACCCCTGCTCAAAACAACTAAATAAGCAAATGCCTATTGGAATAAATCATGTTGGTCGGGATGATGAAACAGACAGAATAGGAAATTCAGGAAAAAACATAAAGAAAAAAATTGGCAAACTTCTATTAATGAACAAAGACCAAAATTAACAATAAAAATAAAGGGGTTTTGTTGTCTGGTCTGGTAGACACAGGTACTGACATTTTCATAATTGCACCAGAATTTTGGCATCCAACTTGGCCTCTTCAGGAGGTAAACGTTCAACTGTTAGGAATTGGGAAATTATCTTGAGTGAAACAGAGTGCAAGATGGCTCGAATGTATAGGTCCAGAAGGACAGAAAGGAAAATTAAAACCATATAACATAGCTATGAACCTGTGGGGTCAAGACTTGTTACAACAATGGAATACTCAGATTAATATCCCTTCAATCTCAGAAACAAATCATAAACTAGTACATGTTTCTGAGAGAAATAATAGATATTATTCTAATGAGTGCTCACCAGCCATCCATGTCATACAAAAATGGCACAACAACTGATAATCTTCCAAAAACACCAACAGCTCTACCTTTAAAATGGTTAACAGACAAGCCT